ATAAAATCTGTGCCTAGACAATTACCCAACTTAAAGACAAGTGACCAAATTATACAGAAGGCTACGCTGGAACCCAGAATCCCAGGATGAGGTGGACAAAAGTATGCTCATCTGGGCCAGGAATGGTGGCTCACACCTATAATCCCAGCATTTTGGGAGGCAGAAGCAGGCAGATCACCTAAGGTTGGGAGTTCGAGACCAGCCTAACCAACATGGAGAAACCCCATCTCTACTAAAAATATAAAAATCAGTCAGGTGTGGTAGCACATGCCTGTAATCCCAGCTACTTGGAAGGCTGAGGCAGGAGAATCGTTTGAACCTGGGAGGCAGAGGTTGCAGTGAGCCGAGATAGCGTCATTGCACTCCAGTCTGGGCAACAAGAGTGAAACACCATCTCAAAAAAATTAAAAAAGTCTGCTCCTCTGGCAGTTCCGTAAACACAAACTTAACCTTGTTACTAACCTCAGCCAACCAAACAAACTCTAGGTAGCAACTCATTATGGCAATAAATAATTAACCACAAGAACTAGGCAACTCTCACCAGACAATGTACGCAGCTGCAATTCCAGGATGTAGAACTAGAACACTAAGTTCTAGAAAAAAAAATCCTACTTTTCTTATTTCTTACTCCCTTTCCTCCAACTTTACTTCTTTCATAGATTTACTCTGAAATGGCTTATATTTTCTACAATTATTTATGAAAGCTGTATAGGAGATATAAGCTAGATATAAGTTGTCCAATACAGTAGCCACTAGCCACAAATGGCTTTGTAAAATAAGTTTTATTGGGCAGTGCTGGTCTAGACAGCAAAATATCAGCATTTCTGGGACACTGATCATTTATGGGACAAAATAAACCAAACTGTTTAAATTAGGATGGTTCTGAAAATCAAGATTTACAAACAACATAAATAAATACTCAAAGAGGACATCTCAAAAAGTCACAAACTGGCTGGGTGCAATGGCTCACATCTGTAATCCCAGCACTTTGGGAGGCTGAGGTGGGTGAATCACAAGGTCAGGAGTTCAAGACCAGTCTGGCCAGCATAGTGAAACCCATCTCTACTAAAAAAACAAATAATTAGCTGGGCATGGTGGCACACACTTATAATCCCAGCACTTTGGGAGGCCAAGGTAGGTGGATTACCTGAGGAGTTTGAGACCAGCCTGACCAACATGGAAAAACCCCATCTTTACTAAAAATACAAAAGTTAGCTGGGTGTGGTGGCATATGCCTGTAATCCCAGCTACTCAGGCACCTGAGGCAGGAGAATCGCTTGAACCTGGAAGACGGAGGTTGCAGTGAGCTGAGATTATGCCACTGCACTCCAGCATGGGCAACAAGAGCGAAACTCAATCTCAAAAAAAAAAAAAAAAAAAAAAAAAAAAAAAAATCAATCTCAAAAAAAAAAAAAAAAGATTTAAAAAAACATAAGTAACCTAAATAGAAGAAAGATGGAACAAAGTTGTACACAAGTGTTCCACAGTGGTACAGTAATGATTACTTTCAGTGTTTAGCCTACTTGGGAGGCTGAGGCAAGAGAACAGCTTGAACCCACAGGCAGGGGTTGTAGTGAGCCAAGATGGTACCACTGTACTCCAGCCTGGGTGACAAAGAGAGACTCCGTCTAAAAAAGACAAAAATCTCCAAGTGAAGTAGTCCCTGGAAACCATATATATTCTAGTAAAGTGCTACTTAGTCTGCCTCCTGGTGCTAGTTTTCAAACTGTTTCTTACTAATTCGTAAAAGTCCAGAAATTGAAAATGTTTAGAAACTTTCAGAATAATTTAATACTGTTGTAGCATTTTAATTGTATTTTATAAAAGTATCACTCTGCAATAATAAATGTTTTAAACTAGCTTTTTGCCACAGATAATTTCAGAAGCACTACTCTAGCACATATGCAAATAAAAAATATGCTGTACACATTGACAATCAATGTTATTAGAGAAGGAAGCTCATAGCTAGAGTTCTGCCAATTACCATTATTATATTACAACCTTCCAGAGACTTAAAATGGGAGCTGAAATTTCATCAACGATCAACTAAAACTAAAACTGATACAAGTTAATTGACTGAATTTTAAGGCCATAAAGCCAATTTACCAACAGAACTGAACTAAGAAAAAAGGAAGAAAACTAACATTTATTGAGGATCAAAGTATCACTATTAGGTACTTTCAAATACTGTATACGATTTTTTTTTTAAAGACAGAGTCTAGGCCATGTGCAGTGGCTCATGCCTGTAATCCCCGCACTTTAAGAGGCCAAGGTGGGTGGATCGCTTGAGGCCAAAAGTTCTAGACTAGCTTGGGCAACATGAAGAAACCCCACCCCTACTAAAAATGCAAAAATCAGCTGCGCCTGGCGGTGCATTCCCATATTCTTAGCTACTCAGGAGGGCGAGGTGGGAAAATCACTTGAACCCAGGAGGCAGAGGTTGTAGTGAGCTGAGATCACACCACTGCATTCCAGCCTGGATGACAGAACAAGACCCTGTCTCAGAAAAAAAAAAAAAAGACAAGGTCTTACTCTGTCTCCCAGGCCAGAGTGCAACGTCACTATCATGGCTCAATGCAGCCTCAAACTCCCAGGCTCAATTAATCCTCCCACCTCAGCCTCCCAAAATAATGGGATTTCAGGCATGAGCCACTGCCAACTGTCCCTGTATCCAATTATTTACTCTTCATAACCAGGTTGCTAGTTATCGCTCTAAGTCTTACAGACAAGGATCAAAGAAGTTCAGTAATTTGTTCAAAGTCACAAAGTTAATAAATGTATCTGTTTTACTAAGCCTCCTGTGGAATAAAAATGAAAATAGGTCAAAGACAGAGAAAAATTCTATGGAAGGGAAGAGAAAGACCTGATATTCCTATAATGAAATGCCATAAAAATAACACAGGTATACAGCATAGCACTGATGGACAAATTCTTCTCAGGAATGTGTAACAGGAGATATGAGCTATGTAGTAAGAGAGACAATGTTCAACTTTGTAAATTCTGAAGGAATACACAGACAATTCTCTAGGAGATGGAGTGAAGTTACTGCTTGGGTTCTCAGATATCTAGCCCTCATATAAAAAGGGAGAAGACAGGTAAGAACTAGGGCTGCAGATCCAAGGCACCCTTCCCCTCAGCCAGCTGGCACAACACAAGTGACCTTTGGTTTATAATAGCCCTTCTCAATTAAGCTGCATGTGGCTTAAGAATCACATATTCTGTCTCTCAACTCCCAATTTTTTCTTACTTCACATAAATGAGCAAGTATTCCCACTGAGCACCTATGATCTCAGCATCATGCTAGGCACACAGACCTAATGCTATATTTCCAGTTAATATCAAAAATGATAACCCAGGATAGGTGCAGTGGCTCACACCTATAATCCAGCACTTTGGGAGGCCACGGCAGGAGGATGGCTTGAGGCTAGGAGTTTGAGACTTCCCTGGGCAACATAGGGAGACCTCATCTCTAAAAAAGGATTTAAGAAACTAGCCAGGCAGCCAGGCACGGTGGCTCATGCCTATAATCCCAGAACTTTGGGAGGCCGAGGCGATCAGGAGTTTGAGACCAGCCTGACCAACATGGAAAAACCCCATCTTTACTAAAAATACAAAAATTAGCTGGGTGTGGTGGCACATGCCTGTAATCCCAGCTACTCGGGGGCCTGAGGCAGGAGAATCGCTTGAACCTGGAAGATGGAGGTTGAGGTAAGCGGAGATTGTGCCATTGCACTCCAGCCTGGGCAACAAGAGCAAAACTNAAAAAAAAAAAAAGATTAAAAAAAAAAACAAGTAACCTAAATGGAAGAAAGATAGAACAAAGTTGTACACAAGTGTTCCATAGTTACATAGTAATGATTACTTTTAGTGTTTAGTTTTTTCCTAAGCAAAATATATAACTAATGTCAGGTAAGTTTCTTCCAATGGCTTTCTAGAGAGCTAAATACTTTTATACTGAAGTTGGACACAATGATTTTTTTCTTAAATTATAGTTTTTCTGGTTTCAAATACCCTGCCACCACTTTGACAACCAAGAAACATGTTCCTATTCTAAACAACAAAGATTAAAAGACCACCTGCTCTAGGCAAATAGAAAAATACTTATAATTTTCTCCAATGTGCCTTGCAAAACTCCAAAGGCAACTATGCCCTAGGGAACCAATCACCCCACACAGCATATAGTAAACGAAGTCATCTTGCTTAATAAACTAAATAACATCAGTTAGCAGAGGGGCAGAAAGAATGAAATAACGTTCTTATTTTTGTTCCACTGAACCTCCAAGTTTTATTTCTAGGTACCTTTAACCTAAAGACAAGACTGTCTTCTCCTGATTATTTGATTCCCATTATGCCTATTAGCAAAGTTAAAGTAGATGTAATAAGTCTTAGCATCACTGAATTCAACATCTTAACCAACAAAAATATAGACCATGCTCAGGCTGGGTGCAGTGGCTCATGCCTGTAATCCCAGCACTTTGGGAGGCAGAGGTGGATGGATCCCTTGGGCCCAGGAGTTCAAGACCAGCCTGGGTAACATAGCAAAACCCCATCTCTACCAAAAATACAAAACAATTAGCCAGGCATGGTGGCAAATACCTGTAGTTTTAGCTACATGAGAGGCGAGGTGGGAGGATCACCTGAGCACAGGGAAGTCAAGCCTGCAGTGAGCTGTGATAGCATCATTGCACTCCAGCCTGGACAACAGAATGACTCTGTCTCAAAAAAAAAAAAAAAAAAAAGAAACAAAGAAAAGAAATATAGATCATCCTCTAACAGCCTGGGTGAAAGCTATGAAAACAATCCATGGGAAAAAAACACTCAGCTTGTGAATTCCTGCTACATAATCAAGAATCAGCAAGAGGCGGCGACAGTCAAAGGAGTGTGTGAAATGAAATGATTTGTAGCCAGCTACATTCTCAGAAGGGTCATTTCCAGCCTACGCAGTTTCCATAAGCTGCTCTAATGTTGCAAAAACATTACTTCCATTGAACCTACATTACCTTTCTGGAGATTGAAGAGACATTCAAACCAAATCTTTGAGCTCTTTCCTTCAGCTTATCCAAGTTAACCTATTAAAAACATGAAAGAAAGAAAGAACATAGTTTTTAAAAATCGAAATGGAAAACAGAAAATGCAGAAACTATAGCCTGAAGCTACGAGTTCAAATAAGCCTATAACATCAAAGATACCCTATGAGCAAAATTAGAAAACTAAGCAGTACCATCTAATCCACTGCTTATTAAAAGGCCTCCTCTGGAGTACAGTGAAAGATTCAGCCCTGCCTCCTGCATTTATCACAGGTGGCAAGAGGATAAGGAGGGCTTAAGATTAAGGGAAGCCAAACACTGCAGGAGAAAGCAAACACAAGTCTAAATCATCACCTCCAAACAGGGCTACCATTCAAGTCCAAAATCATTAATTTTCACATGGTCTCTGCAAATATTTCTTAACTCTATCTCCAAGCAAAGAGAAACTATCACAAAACTCCTTTTTCAGAAGACAATCTATAACTACTACTCAACTCAACTGTCTTCCCTCCTTTCTTGGAAACCTTGATACCTGAGACTTACTATTACAAGAATATTTAGGACTGGGAGCAGTGGCTCACGCCTGTAATCCCAGCACTTTGGGAGGCCAAGGCAGGCGGATCACCTGAGGTCAGGAGTTCGAGATCAGCCTCACCAACATGGTGAAACCCCATCTCTACTAAAAACACAGAAATTAGCCAGGAGGCGTGGCGTATGCTTATAATCCCAGCTACTTGGGAGGCTGAGGCAGAAGAACTGCTTGAACCCAGGAGGTGGAGGTTGCAGTGAGCTGAGATTGTGCTATTGCACTCCAACCTGGGCAACAAGAGTAAAACTCTGCCTCAAAAAANCTGAGGTCAGGAGTTCAAGACCAGCCTGACCAACACAGTGAAACCCCATCTTTATTAAAAATACAAAAAAATTGGCTGGGCTTGGTGGCTTACGCCTGTAATCCCGGCACTTTTGGAGGCCAAGGCAGGCAGATCATGAGGTCAGGAATTTGAGACCACGCTGGCCAACATAGTGAAACCCCATCTCTATAAAAAAAAATACAAAAAATTAGCTGAGTGTGGTGGTGGGTGCCTGTAATCCCAGCTACTTGGGAGGCTGAGGCAGGGGGAATTGCTTGAATCTAGGAGGCAGAGGTTGCAGTGAGCTGAGATTGCATCATTGTACTTCAGACTGGGAAACAGAGCAAGACTCTGTCTCAAAAAAAAAAAAATTGGCTAGGCTATGGTGGCCAGTGCTTGTAATCCCAGCTACCTGGAGGGTGAGACACAGAATCACTTGAACCCTGGAGGCAGAGGTTGCAGTTAGCTGAGATCATACAAGGCTATTTGAGGGGTTGGGGGAAGGGAGAGTAACAGGAAGAATAGGTAATGGGTGTTGAGTGTAATACCTAGGTGATGGGATGATCTGTGCAGCAAACCACCACGGCACACGTTTACCTATGTCACAAGCCTGCACAGCCTGCACATGTATCCCTGAACTGAAAATAAAAGTTGAAGAAAACAAACAAACAAAAAAGAAAAAGGCTATTTGAAAGGAATTGGTAATAACATTTATTTGAAAGAAGTCAGTTACTTGGCCAGGCATTGTGATTCACGCCTGTAATCCCAGTACTTTGGGAGGCTGAGGGGGGGCTGATCACCTGAGGTCAGGAGTTTGAGACCAGCCTGGCCAAAATGGCAAAACCCCGTCTCTACAAACAAAACAAAACAAAACAAAAAAGTCGTGGTGGCAGGCGCCTGTAATCCCAGCTACTTGGGAGGCTAAGGTAGGAGAATTTCTTGATCTTGGGAGGCAGAGGTTGCAATGAGCCAAGATCAGACCACTGCACTCCAGCCTGGGCAACAAGAGTAAAACTCTGCCAAAAAAAAAAAAAAAAAAAAAAAAAAAGTATATATATGTATATATATTTAGGAAATTTTCATTAATAATATTAAACCTTCACTTACAATACTAAACAGTAACCCCTTAAGCAGGATTTCGTAAAGCTGATTCCATCTCACCACAGCATTCATTACCATTTTTAAACATGCTGACTAGTCACAATGGTCCAGAGAGCCATTTTACTCTAACATTCTTTACTCTGATTTCACATTTCATGGATAGTATTAAAAAAAAAAAAAAAGGAGTAGCTACAAACAGAATTCATAAGTTGCTTCCACAGATTCTCTTATGGTAATTATGAATCAGACATTATCTAAGGCCACTGGACAAGGCCTAAAACTCCAATACCATAAAACAAAGGGTTACATGGATTGTTCTCTAGCTAACAAAATCTATTCCTACTTTCAAAAAGAGTGGTAGGAAGGAAGACATCTGCAGTAACTGATCATGTGACAATTACAGTTTTTCTGACCTCTCAGTATCTCCAACAATTTTTTAAATTCAGGACATACAACACTGTACTGAAAACAGCCAACAAATTAATGTTCTCAGAGTTTCCTCTAATCTGGGGAGGAGGAGTCACTAACTTTAAAGTTAGCTATAAAGAATTAAGATCTGGGTGTGTAAGAAATAAAAAATGATTTCTTACCATAGGCTTGTTGTCAGATGATAGACCTAAGGAAGTAGATAAAGTTTTATTTAATATTTTTAAAAGTGATAAAAGTCGACAGTCTTCAAGTCAAATTAGGCAACATAAAAACAGTATACAGGACACATATCCTTTACCCTCTGATGACAAAGAAAAGGCAGAAATTGCATCTAGCAATGTCTGTATTAGTTGCTAGCAGGAACATAAAACAGTTACAGCTGCTTTGGAAAACAGTGTTTGGCAGTTCCTCAAAAGGCAAACACAGTTACATATGCTCCCACAATTCCACTGCTAGCTATACAGCCAAGAGAAAACCAAAACACATAATTACACAAAAATTTGTACATAAATAAATATTCACAGCAGCATTATTCATATTAAACAAAAAGTTAAAAAAAACACCCATCAACTGATGACTGGCAAAATAAAGTATGGTATACCCGTACAATGGAATAGAGTCACATGCTATAACATGAATGAACCTTGAAAACTACGCTGAGGGAAAGAATCCAATCACAAAAGGTAATATACTGTATGAATTCATTTATATGGAGGCAAATTTCCACAGAGAAAGAATTTAGTGGCTGCTTAGGGCTGGGGAGGGAGAGGTAATGGAGGATATCTGCTGATGGGTATAGAGTTTCTTTCTGGGGTGATAAGCACTGTGATGATAGCAGCACAATCCTGTGAATATACTAAGGAACAATGAATTATATACCTTTAAATGAATGAACTGTATATTATATAAATTGCATCTCAGTAAAGTTGTTAAAAAAGAGAGCACAACTGGACAAACAAGAACTACTATCATGAGTTGCAATTATGGCTCCTGGCTGGGCACAGTGGCTCACGCCTGTAATCCCAGCACTTTGGCTGGCTGAGGTTGGTGGATCACCTGAGATCAGGCGCTCTAGACCAGCCCGACCAATATGGTGAAACCCATTTCTACTAAAAATACAAAAATTAGCAAGGTGTCATGGCGTTCACCTGCAGTCCCAGCTACTCGGGAGGCTGAGACAGGGGAATTGCCTGAACCCAGGAGGCAGAGGTTGCAGTGAGCTGAAATCATGCCACTGCACTACATCCTGCGCAACAGAGCAAGACTTCATCTCAAAAAACAAACAAACAAACAAACAAAAAGAAAAAAATAGTATATTGACCTCTAGGCCCAACCCTAACCTAGCCAATAATTATTTACTTCAAACTTTTCAGGATTTCATTCAAAAAACAATGCTTCCTTTTCGATGTTCCCAAATTCCATTATTTTGGAGTTACTCTATAGTTATAAGACATCAGAATTATGAGTAACACTGAAACTGTATTTTTTATCAAGTTCCATTTTCAGAGAATTAATTTTGACTATTATCTTTCTTCAAACAGCATTTCAGCCATGCACCTGTAGTCTCAGTTACCCAGAAGGCTGAGGGAGGATTGCTTGAGCCCAGGAGCTCAAGTCTAGCCTGGGCAATATAGTGAGACCCTGTCTCTTTAAAAAACAAAAAAAAACCACCACCTTCTATAATTTGTTTTATCTCTCTTGATATAACTAAGAGCCACAAAAAAAATTGTTTTCTCTAAAACACTTAGTGATAGTGGCCAGAATTTTCCTCTTTTTAAAAGCACAGCAAAACACTACAACATGATCTCTGAGGGACATTTTCTTACTTGAAACTACTGACAAGTCACAGAGAAAACTGGATTGAATTAGGAAACTACATTTAAATTTTTTTTTTTTTTTTTTTTTGAGACGGAGTTTTGCTCTTGTTACCCAGGCTGGAGTGCAATGCGGCTCACCGCAACCTCCGCCTCCTGGGTTCAGGCAATTCTCCTGCCTCAGCCTCCTGAGTAGCTGGGATTACAGGCACGTGCCACCATGCCCAGCTAATGTTTTGTATTTTTAGTAGAGACAGGGTTTTACCATGTTGACCAGGATGGTCTCGATCTCTTGACCTCGTGATCCACCCGCCTCAGCCTCCCAAAGTGCTGGGATTATAGGCGTGAGCCACCGCGCCCGGCCTTACATTTAAATTTTAAGTTCCTGAGAAAAGGGGCTATGTTCTTTTTTTTTTTTTTTGAGACAAGAGTCTCGCTCTGTCCCCCAGGCTGGAGTGCAGTGGCATGATCTCAGCTCACTGCAACCTCCCAAGTAGCTGGAACTACAGGTGTTTACCACCATACCTAGCTAATTTTTAAATTTTCTGTAGAGACAAGATGTCACTTTATTGCCCAACCTAGTTTCCAACTCCTGGGTTCAAGCGCTCCTCCCAGCTTGGCATCCCAAAGTGCTGGGATTACAGGCGTGAGCCACCATACCCAGCCCTTTCTTAAAAATAATAACTATCTCAGGCTGGGCACAGTTGCTCACACCTGTAATCCCACCATTTTGGGAAGCAGAGGTGAGAGGATCACTTGAGGTCAGGAGTTTGAGACCAGCCTGGCCAACACAGTAAAATCCCGTCTCTACTAAAAGTACAAAAATTAGCCGGGTGCGGTGGCAGACACCTGTGGTCCCAGCTACTCAGGAGGCTGAGGCAAGAAAATAGCTTGAACCCAGGAGGCAGAGGTTGCAGTGAGCCAGATCGCACCCCTGCACTCTAACCTGGGTAAGAGCGACACTGTATCTCAAAAAAATAATAATAACTATTTCCTCTAATTCATTACAAAAGTGATACATATTCATTGTATGGATTTTAAAAACACAGACACACAAAAAGAAATAAATCATTCAAATATCCACCAACCAGAGATAATGAGTACTACAATTTAGAATACAGTCATCCCTCCATATCCTCAGGCGATTGGATCCAACTCCAACCCTCCAGCTGATACCAAAATCTACACATGCTCAAGTCCTGCAGCAGATACAGTAAGTCGCTCCTCCATATCTGTAGGTTTAACATCCACCAAATACTGCATTTTTGAACTGCACTTGATTATGATGAACCCTCAAATACAGAGGGGAAACTGTATTTATCGGAAAAAAAAATCCATGTATAAGTGAACCTGTGCAGTTCAAACCTGTGTTGTTCAAGCGTCAACTGCATATCTTTCCAATCCTTTTTCCTATCTATATATGCACTCTTACATGACTAAAATGGGAATATACTGTTACTATAATTTTGTAACTCTTTTCATTAATATCTCTGGTAAATATCTTTCAATACTATTTCAGCACAATGTTGTCTTCTATACCATGGCACACATTTACTAAACCAATTCTCTGTTGTATAGTTGGTTGTTTCCAGTAATTGATCACTATAAATAATGCTGTGATAATCCTTGAGAATAACTCTTTAAGCACATTCAAGACTTTCCTTATACGTTCCTAGAAGTAAAATTGTGAAGGTAGAAGATACTCTTTTCCCTTTTATCACTTATCACAGTCAGTATAACACTGGGTAGTGTGCAATAATTTTATGCAGATGAGACCCTAGAATAGGTAAGCAAAGTACTAGAGAAACTTCTTTGAAGATGTTCAAGAAAAGGAAGACAAATGTTGGCACTTCCTATCCTCTCATAACATTCAGTATCTCTCTTAATTGCCCAGGAAGGCTTAAGTATAATTTTACTTAAAGCAAAGAGGTGAAAGTTATAATCTCTTAAGAATTTCTATGGCTAGCAAATTTACCTTATTTTGGAAAAATGAAACCTGTTATACCAGAAAACAAAGAATATAAAGATAACTTTCTCAGAAGTTATCTCTGTACTCTTACCTTTTGTTGGAACTGAAGAAATCCCAAACCTGCAGAAAGAAAAACAAACTAAATTTTAGGAAGCTGTTCACACTCCTGGTTGTCTGTCTGCATGCCAAGTATACATATGACACTTCTTGCTTGTGATCTCAAGCCTTGCAATCATTAGCTAATTCTAACAACCCCATGAAAGAGGTTCAGTTTACTCTCCCTCTTACCAAGTCCAGAGATTAAGCTAAAAGGAAGCCTTATCAGAATTAGTAGTAGTAGTCAGTTCCTGGCTTTAACTATTACACAAACCCTTCTCAATAAAGCCCAATCTATAGCTACGATATCCAAATCAGTAGAGATGTTCTGAATAGGGTCAAAAAGTGTTCATGTCATTCAGCAAGCCTCTATTCTACTTAAAATCAACAACTACACCTAAAACCTAGGATCACACCTCTTCACCTTACAACATCACTATTGCAGGCCCAAAAGGCTGGGGACACTCACCTAGCTGCCCGAGCAGCTTTCTTACTCTCCAAGCTCACAGGTACATTGAATCGTTCGGCCCTCTTCTGCATTCTCTAAGTAAAAATAGATGAAAGAAAGGAAATAAAAATGTCAATTTGTGGTTTAAGAAAGTTAGTGGTCGGGCTCGGTGGCTCACGCCTGTAATCCCAGCACTTTGGAAGGCCAAGGCGGGCAATCACCTGAGGTCAAGAGTTCGAGGCCACCCTGACCAACATGGAGAAACCCCATCTCTACTTAAAATACAAAAATTAGCTGGGCGTGGTGGCACACGCCTGTGATCCCAGCTACTCGGGAGGCTGAGGGAGAATTGCTTGAACCCGGGAGGCAGAGGTTGTGGTAAGCTGAGATCATGCCATTGCACTCTAGCCTGGGCAAGAATAGCGAAATTCCATCTCGAAAAGAAAAAAGAAAAAAAGGTTAGTCCGAGGTACTTTTTGCTTGTTTCGTTTTTTTGCTTTTTTAAAAGACAGAATCTCACTCTGTTGCCCAGACTGTAAGGCAGTGGTGTAACCTCGGCTAATTGCAACGTCAGCCTCCTGGGTTCAAGCGATTCTGGTGGCTCAGCCTCCCAAGTAGCTGTGATTACAGGATTGCACCACTGTGCCCAGCTAATTTTTGTACTTCTAGTAGAAATGGGATTTCACCATGATGGCCAGGCTGATCTTGAACTTCTGGCCTCAAGCGAACCACCCCTTAACCTCTCAAAGTACTGGGATTAAAGGTGTGAGCCACCCCACCCAGCCAGAGGTAGGTATCCTAAAAACATCAGGAGTAATTTCTTAGGGTCTAAAGTGAAAATGCTGACAATCCTAGAAGATATCAGGTTGTGTCCATAGCAGGACTTAACAGCCCTTTCCAGAAGGCAAACACAAAAAGACTATTATTACATGCCCTCAAAAAGAAAAGGGAGGAATAAAAGTAAAACCTATATTATGAATGAAGCCAAGAAGTCAAAAGCTCTGTTTGGCTGACCTTTGAAAAGTGATCAAAGGAACAGTTTGGTTCCAACACTAGTGGTATTCTTTCAGTTAGAAATGAAGCAGCATTGTTTTATGCTATTCTAAAACAGTTTAATAATTCTCTACTTTGAAAGTATGATACTGAACACATGATCTCAACTGGAATCTGGTTTCACAGACCTGCACCACAAATCCAAAGAAATTTCAATCTCATCTACTGGCCAGTAGCAACATAAAAGTCATATCTAGCAATATATTTTCAAGGTACAATCCTCCCAAACTCTAATCCTAGGTTTGTAAACATCTCAAAGAGAGTCACTGTTAAGATCATAGAACTACATACAAAAAGGCTACAGCTTCAAGAATGACTACTCACTATGCCAGCCACATATTTTCCAAAGAATAGCTGGCAGAGAAACGTAACACCACCAAAATCTGTCAATACTGATTTCCTGCCTGTGAATAAATTTTGGAGGATGATGCAGATATAATAAAGGCGAAGAGGGAGAGAGAAATGTAGAGACTATTCTACTAGGGAGCAGAATACCTACCTCAGTCTGTGGTATTTCAGATGTAATTTTCACCACTTTCTTTTCTGCTGCCCTAGAAAAGAAAGAGGTATTTTTAAATGAGAAAACTGATATTCTAAACCACAACCTTAGAAATGTGTAAGAATTCACCTGAGTCACCGTTCTCTGCCCTATTATCTCTCTGCCACCCCTTAGGCCAAAGAAACATGAAGTCCACTAAAGCTTTGGTTCTTTTAACTGTCATCTATTGAGAGGAAAGAGTTCAAATGACAAACTAAGCTTCTTTAGCTAATGTATAATAAAGAAATAAGAAAAGAAGTCTGGTTAAATATACTGGGCTAAAGGGATGCACTCAAAGGACATCAGAAACCATCTCATTTGCTTTTAGGAACTTCTTAATTTACTTTTTTTTTTTTTGAGATGGAGTTTTGCTCTTGTCGCCCAGGCTAGAGTGCAGTGGCGTGATCGCGGCTCACTGCAACCTCCACCTCCTGGCTTCAAGCGATTCTTCTGCCTCAATCTTCCGAATGGCTGGGATTACAGGCATCCACCACCATGCCTGGCTAATTTTTATATTTTTAGTAGAGACAGGGTTTCACCATGTTGGCCAGGCTAGTCCCGAACTCCTGGCTTCAAATGATCCACCCACCTCAGCCTCCCTAAGTGTTGTGATTATAGGCATGAGCCACTGTACTTGGCCTTTAATTTACTTTTGAACTAATGAGTAGCCCTCCAACCCTCCTTTAAGTACCAGCTCTCAGTGTTCATCACAACAATTAATGAGTACTCTACAGGGTCTGGTTTTCTTTTAAAAATCCCTTATTTCTCCCATGGGGAATGTAGCTCTAGCTGGAACAGTCAAAGTGGAACAAATAAAAATGCCAAAGGTAGGAATAAAAAAGTCTAAGGGGAGTTTGAATTAGGAAAACATGGTAAGTTACTGGTCAAAAGCTTAAGAGAAAACAAAAGAAAGGGGACCACAGGGGCGGGAGACAAAGTTCGGAAGTACCCAGGGTAAATGGAAGGGCATTAACCCTCCACCAAACAACTCCCATAAAACTGTGGGTCATAACCAGTCTCATTAAGGTCCCTCATTTAGAGACATGGACAGCTTTTGTTCAAATATCCCGGACACTTTTCCCATTTGATGCCCTGAATGGTAGTAATGGTTTAATGACATTTTCAGAGGAAGCAATTCTGGAACAAGAACTTACTCTCTCCTTCACCCTTTTGTTGGAAATCCCTGGACTGACAGACAAGCAATGGGTGCCCCCTGCTGACCATAACTAAGTCCTACAATATGTAACTGTTTTGGCTGGTGGATGGGGTGGGGAATCAAACTAGAAATGTATATTTTTGGGGAACCTCAGGCCAAAGATGAATAAGGGGATCTCCTTTTAAACAGTCAAAGAATCTAAACTAGCTCTGACTATTCTGACTTTTAAAGAAATTTCTAAATGCTTCCCATTTCTTTGCCATCCTTCCCTAACCTTGTCTTATAATTTAGGCACAAAAGGCAAGAGAAGTTTAATGTTTTACTTCAAGTCCAATGCCATCAAGAGAGCAGTAGTCTCCATCAACCCCAGTGTAATAGCTTCCTCCCCACTCCCATTCTGAAGCACAGTCAATGCAGTGCACCTCCTGGCAGAAAGGGAACCCCAGAAAGGAAGCTTCCTTCTGTTCTATTCGAATTCCCTTAGGCATAACTAAACTCAAGCAATAAATAAACATCAAATTCTGGGATGCATGGGAAATTTCCGCTCTTCACAGAAATTTCTCTCCTACCCAATCACATAAACAACATTCTCCGAAATATAGGGACCCAGAATCTTTCTGTACATACTTCAGTCTAACCACAAGTATCCCTCTAAAAAGCAAAATGATCCCCATCCACTTCAATTTCCTTGTTTCAAAATTCATTAACAGAATTAAAGCCCCCGAACAAGAAAATGCACATTTTAAATATTCTATGAATAATGAACTTCAAACTTTCAAACCTCTACTTTTTAACCCACGCAAGCCAATTATCATGGTATTCACCTGATCTTCCTTCTTATCCCAGAAATTCCTGTAACATTTCTATTTTAAAGCTATCCCGCAACGTCATTTTTTCAAGACACTATATCTAATCATAAACCTCTTATGATGGAAAGATAACTAAATGGCTTTAGAAAGTAATATTTGACAGGCTGGGCATGGTGGCTCACACCTGTAATCCCAGCACTTTGGGAAGCCAAGGTGGGTGGATCGCTTTGAGCTCAGGAGTTCAAGACCAGCCTGGGAAACATGGTGAAACCCCATCTCTACAAAAATTACAAAAGAAGAGCCAGGTGTGGTGGCTTGTGCCTATAGTCCCAGCTACTTGGGAGGCTGAGGCTGGAGAAATACTTGAGCCGGGAAATGGAGGCTGCAGTTAGCCAAGATTGTGCCACCATACTCTAGCCTGGGCAACAGAGTGAGACCCTGTCTCAAAAAATAAATAAAGGAATATTTGACAAAAAGATATCAAAATGTTAAGTGTTACATCCTCTGTGATGCAGCAAATCCACTGCTTGGAATTTACCCTATGGTTGTACTTGTCAGTATAAATAATTAGAAAAAGACATGCAGAACTACATTTTTTTTTTGGCTTTTATGAATACTCTAAATGTCCATCAACAGGAGACTGGTGAAATAAATTACTGTTTACCCACAGAATGGAATACTATTAAATGCTAGAAACAACAAGGTTCTAAGTTGATAACTAGTAAATCTGGGTTATTGGTGGATGAGAGTCTATTATACTAGTCTCATAACTTTTGTATATACTTATAATTTCCTATGATAACAAACAAGCTAAACAAAAGAGATCACTTCCTAGGATAATTATCCTGACTTCATAGGGTCTACTGAGGATTAAAAGAAACTATTTACATTCAGAACAATGCCTAGCATATAACACTTAAATAAGAAAATTATGATATAAAAAATTTCCAGATATGAAAAAAAGTCAAGGAACAGTGTGCATAGTGTGTGTATACATGTATATGTATACATGTATACATATGTACATACATGCACACACATACAGACTCCATATATAAAATATTTCAAAAGAACGTACTGTTCTAAAAACCTCAGTAAAGTCAAATGAGAATGGATACAAAGAGTACTTAATTTTCAATTGATATACTCCTCTATGTACTGATTTTTTTTTTTTTTTCTTTGAGACGGAGTTTTGCTCTTGTTACCCAGGCTGGAGTGCAATGGCGCGATCTCGGCTCACCGC